CTCACCTGGATATTTCTAACCATCTCCACCTGGAGATTCCTGAGCACCACTAGGTTTCATGGCAGAATTGATAAGAGCGCGGATTCTGGAACCATCCTGCCTGAGCAGGACCCTTGACTCTACTACTTAGTAGCTATGTGCCATGAGCAAATTACTTAACCTCTCTCTGCCTCAATTCCATCATCCCTTAAAGAAAAAGAAATGGATACTAATAGTACCTACCTCCTGTGACTGATGAACAGTGCCTAATATACAGTAAGTGCTATATAAGTCTTAGCTGCTGCTGCTGGTATTATTTTCTTCAAGGCACAGCTCTTTGTCTTTCTGGGCCCTCACCCCACCCTTCACCTCTTCTTATATTCCTAACATGTATAGTCACTTTCAGCCAGCCGCTAAGTATCCCAAGTTAGAAACCTCAGAGTTACCATAACTGTGATTTCCTTCTTTCACTCTCTGTGTTGTCTGTTTTGCTTTCCAAATCACTCATACTTGCTTTAGTTCAAGGCCTCTTCATCTCTCACTTTTAGTAATGTAAAAGTTTCCTGAAACAACTGTTTCTACTCTTGTTCTCTTGTCATTTCCTGTTCATCCTTCCCTCTAGAAGTAGAAGATTTCTAAAACCCAAATTCAGTTGTACACATGCTCAGGCCAGTGGTTTTAGGAGCCCTGGGCTCTTATAACAGGGACTCTATGGCCACCATGAGATTGGAGAGCATAGGGGAGAGGTTAAGACACAGGTGAACAAAGAGTAGTCAGCCACTTTTTCCTGCCTACCTCCTGCCTCACACCCCTATCTTTTTTTTCATACTGTAGTCCTGCTATCATAAAACACCTCTGGCTTTCAGGATGAAGTCCAAGGTCTAAGCGAGACATAAGAGGCACTGTATGAACTATCCCCACTACCACCCCAAGCTTAACCACCTACTATGTACAGCGGTGCACTTAACACTTTATGAAGTGCACAGTACGCTGTTTCCTGCACCAGCAGTGCTCGAATTTCCGTGCTTTAGTTCATCCTCTTTGCCCAGATTACCTTTACCATTACCTCAGTTTGCTTGGATAACTTCTAATTGTTCCTGAAGATTCAGCCCAAACAATATCTCCAGAAATGATTTCCTGTTCCTGCCTTCAGGTGCAGTTGTGCAGTCCTCATCGGTGTCCGTATAACTCTCTGTGCTCGTTTCCATCACCACACTGACAGTAGAACCATCTGTGTAGGTATACCCTCCTGACCTGATGTGCCCTCCGTGGGAGCAGAGACTCTGTTGCCTTTGTTTGCTTTTGGATCCCATGCAACTTGCACATTACCTGGCACATAGTAGGCCCTTGGTAAATATTTGACTTACTAAATTTCTGTCTCACTTACTTGACAGAATGAAATGTAAACCTCTTAGCATGGTACAGAGGGTCCTTTTTTATTTGGCCCCTTTCTATCTTGCCATCTTCATCTCTTGCCACCTCTCACCCCTATGGGCATTCACTGTTCTAGCCTTATGAGCTATTGACGCTTCCCTGAAGTCTCTCTATGTCTTTCTGTACGTTATTTCCCATCGCTGGGTTGCTCTCCTTCTCCTTTTACTTTTCCCAGCTAGCAACTCTCTTAGTCTTCCTCTGTGCTCCTGCAGCACTCTCTTCAGACCCATGGCATGTTCTGATTCCAGTACTATAGACATTTTTTTTATTATCCCATTAGACTTGAGCTCATTAGGCAAGCAACCATGTCTTGTTCATCATTTCATAAGACTGATGTTCCACTAGCTTCTTACTCCCTATAGAATAAAGCTCAGGGCTTTTAATATGCCATAAGCAGCCCTTCACAGTCTGTTTTCAAACCGTCTTCATTCTGGTCTCATCTTCTGCTGCCACCTGTGCACCCTAAACTGGAGCTGTTCTCAACAGCTTGTGGTTTTCTGAGCATGTTCCAGTTTGGACTGACCACGTGCATTCTTTCTGTGTGCTTCTTTGATTTGTGAAATGCTGTCTATTGGCAGGGGCTCTGAATCCTCTATGCCTTCCTCCCTGATTCTGTTTCCTTCCATGTTTTCTCAGGAAATAATGGGTATCCTACAGGTAGTGTTTATCATTTTCATATATTTTTTAATTTATTATTTCATATGTATTATCTATAAAAGATATGTAATATAGTTTTGCATTTATATTAATAGTATCATCTTGTTCACATTCTTCTACAAGGATCTTTGCTTGTTTTTTCCTCAGTATTATTTTTGAGATTTATCTATATTAATACATGTAGCTTTAGATAATTTCAAATTGCTATATTGTGTTTCATTGTATGGATATCTGACAGTTTATTAACCTATTCTATTATTGATCAATACCTATTCTAGTCTTGATTGTTTTGACTTTTCAGTTTTTTGTTGTTAATTTATAATTAACATTCTTGTACATAAAGAAAAATCTAGTCTTTTTTGTAATTTTAAAAAGTATTCTGGCAGCTCTGTTCTGACTGAGTATTAAGCACACTTGAAGATCAGTTGCACTTATTTTAAAAATCAGATTTACCCCTTTGTGCACAGACATCGTGTGTCTCTATCACTTTAACTAGAATTAATGATCTAGGGCTAGTACTTTGAGTGCAGAGTTCTATACAAAAGTTAGTTTTTGCACTCAGCAATTTGCAAGTCATGTCTTGTACGAATTTAGGTCACTTTGTCTTAAAAATGCTAAAGGAAAGTCAAAATCAGAAAGTTAAAAAAAAAAAACAACTCTGAAAGCTCTAGCTGTAAAATCTGAGGAAAAAAGCCTATTGTATAAATGAAAACTTGAAGTAAGTGTGAATTCTCTGTTTCTCATTTGTGATAGTCCCAAAACTGGAAGTGACCTCAAATCATCTGTTCTTACAAAAACGTTCGTAACGATAACTGGGAAGCAGTATCCATAGCTTGTTGAGCAGACCATTTCAACATTTGATGCCCGTAGTAGTAAAATTTTCATTATATCCAACTGAAATATCTTATGTTTCGATTGAAGCCCATGTCCTTGTTCTCTCTTCTGCTAACATGGAGAACAGATTTCAGCATTCACTTTCAGAATAAATAAATAAACAAACTAGCCCTTCTTTTCCAGAGAAAATAATCTCAAATCCTTTTTGCTTTGGTTCCTAGGACTTGTTTAATAATTTTCTTAAATTAATGATGAAAGTTACTATAGATTACCTCTATTTTTTAGTGAAGGTAGAATACTAGAACACTGAGAGAAGTAGTGTTGTAAGGTTCTTACATTATGCGTGAATTAATTTAATATTAATTTATAGTAGATTGTGATAAATATGCATATTGTAAACTCAGATAGTCACTGAAAATAAAACAAGAGGATATAGCCAAAAAGCCAAAGTAGGTGATCAAATAGAGTACTAAAAAAAAAAAAAATATTTTAGGAGTAAGGCTATTATAACCCAGAGTAAGGACTCCACTCTAGATGCACTCTAACAAAGCCAAATGAACAGACTTCAAAGAGAGAAAACTGATCTACAAGTAAATTAACTGTATGCCAGAACGTTTTCATTTCTATTGATATTCCCCATCTGTTTCCTCATTATGTTCATGTTTTTCTTTAAATTTTTCAACATTTTAAAATAGCTGTTTTAATGTTCTTTTCTGCTAATTCCAGCATCTCTAGGATCTCTTTCTATTGGCTGATTTCTTCTTCTCCTTATATGAGTCATATTTTTCTGCTTCATCACATATCTAGTAATTTTTACTGTTTGCTTGAAATTGTGGATGCCACATTGTTGAGTGTCTGGATTTTGTTGTCTTCAAGAATTGTTCAGTTTTGTTCTGGCAGATAGCTAATTTACTTGTAGATCAGTTTTATCTCTTTGAAGGTTGTTCACTTAGCTTTGCTAGGAAGCATATAGAGTTCTTACTCTGAGTTAGAATAGCCTTACTCCTAAAGCATGGCCTTTCTGAGAATTCAGCTGAATACCCAGGGTGTTCCATGAGTTTTATCCACCCTGGCTGATTGGAACTCCAACATCTCTCAGCTTTTTGTGACCTCCAAAGTCTCTGTTCAGTTCACAACTTTGTTAATTGTTGTCTCTTGTGGAGTCTTGCTCTGCACAGTACAGCTTCTTTTTTAGCCAAAGACTCAAGAAGACACTTGTGCAAATTTCTGGGGCTCCTTTCTTACAAGTCTCTCCTCTCTAGTATTCTGCCTTGCAAATTCCAGCTACCAGAGCAGCCCCAACTTCACATCTCTTCTCAGCTTTGCACAATACTGCTATGCACTGTTTGGTTCTCACCTTTCTGAGCCATAGTTTGAAGTGTTTCTCTAGGTAGAAACTCACCATTATGGGGCTTGTGTATATTTCCTTTTTTTTTTTTTCTTGAAGATCACAGTTTTGCACATCAGCTATTGTACAGTATATGAAAACAATTGCTTCATATGTATTTTGTCCAGGTTTTTAGTTGTTTACAGCAGGAGGGTTAGTCTGGTACCAGTTAATCCATCATGGCCAGAAGCAGAAATCTTAAAATACGTATGTGTAAACTCATTCTTTTTGAGAAGTAGTATATAAAGCTATAATATAGAATCATAGGCTCTGTATTATACTAGAGAAATATTCTAATCCAACACACTTATTTGAAAGTGAAATACAACAAACTCAAGTTACTTGTAATAGATTACACTGTGAGTTACTTGTAAAGTCAGTCTACTTTGCAGGCTTTCTAAATCTCTGTCCACTATTTTTTCCACTATAGTAATCTTTTAAAAATTTCATCTGTTTTAAACTGTGTAACTTTTTTTTTTTTTTTTTTAATTTTTAGAACCCTTATAATTTAAGCATCCTCGTCACTTCATTTTTTGTTACATAGATGGTATCGGTAATCCTCTTAACAAGCATGAACAAAGAATCGTGGTCATTTACCAGTATATTAGAATAATTGACATGCTGTGGAACTGTGTAATTCCATTTAAGTCCTAGAAAGGGGGACATTTAGTTCTTTTAATATAATTTGATGTTTTGTTTGTTTTTTCAGTTTATTTTCTTTGCTGTCTAAAAAGCACAACAAAGTTTTGGAACAAGCCACACAGTCGTTGAGAGGTTCACTGAGTTCCAATGATGTCCCTCTGCCAGATTATGTAAGTAGTAATCTTACTTTGTCAATAAAAAATTATTCTTTTATTGTTAAATTTATAAATAATAATACCCCTCTTTCTCAAAATTGGACTGCAGTCTTGGTGCCCTAGAAACCTTTAATACTCAAATTTTATTTCTCAAATTGAGGGAAAATTTTTAAGTGAGTATTAACAGTCGGTTAAAGAAAAGCAACTCTGAACTATTCATTATTAATAATTAGTAATCTTACTATCTTAGTCAAGAAGCCCACTCAAACTAGTTACACAAAAACAGAAGGAGGGGTTTTGTAGGAAATAAGCAAAGGTTTCTCACTGAACTCAAGGAGAGGACGTACACCTGAAACTGAAAAGCTACGGGTTCAAGAATATCCGGTTTTTCTGAGGCTATTGAGTATCTTGTTTCTGCTTCTTTTTGCTTTGGCTTTATTTATTCTTCTGCTTTCTACAAGCCAGGTTTCTCTGTTTGCTCATCAGTTCACTTGGACCTAAAATAGTAACCCCAACCCTCCCCTCTCCCATAACATGTCCGTATGAGTTGAGTGCCTTTAGCTAAGTGATCAGTCTTGAAGTTCTAATTCTCACTTGGAAAAAAGAGTATAATTGGCTGTGCTGTGATTAGTGTACCATCCTAGTCTAGTCAGCCCTGGTGGAAGAGAACAGCAGCAACAGGTTGTCTTTGTTCCATCCCCTTTAAAGATGAAGAATTTACTGCCACTTGACCTCAGAGGATGATGATGGAGTAGAACAGAAGGAGCATTATATGATAATAGAAGAAGAAAGCGTGATGAGTTCCTTTAGGGCAGTGCTGCTATCTGTTACATTTCTTATGTTTCAGAACATGGCCTAGATAAGGATGCTAAAAATAATCTTGTCATAAATCACAGAAGTTCAAGTTCTAATAACGGCCTGCCTAAATCACCAGATAACAATTTAGTGGACTGAACCTAGAAACTTTATTAGAGAATTTTAAATTGTGAGTCTAAAGTGGTGATGCATACCAGACAGTTGGAGAGTTGTTTTGCTTGTTTCCTGTGGTTTGTTTCATTTCTAAATGGTTGGCTGATACGAGACTGTGGGAACAGCACCCAGTCCGGATATCAGTCGCTGATAAACAAAGATAGCTGTGTGCAGCCACAACCTGCTGATGCTATTTTTCTTCTCTTTTGTGTAGAGAGAAAGAAAGAAGGTGTGTGTGTGTGTGTGTGTGTGTGTGTGTGTGTGTGTGTGTGTGTGTGTGTGTGCGCGCGCGCGCGCGGTTATGGTCTGTCATCCCATCAAGGTATTAAGTTTATGATTCCGAAGAACTTCTCTTTTAAAAAGCAGTATCTTTTATAATCTTCCTGCTAGTAAAATATTTTGAACTTTTTAAAATTAGCACAATAGCTTGCTTAATTCTATACTTGCCATGACTTGTTATAATAAAAATGCTTCTTTCTAATTGCTCCTTGAAAACTTCAGTTGGATGCCAGGGTGGCAGTGGGAAATTATGTTTATTAAGAACTTGGATTTGGTTCATCTGTTAAATGTATTGTTTTTATCCAGTTATCATTTGATTTATGTAGTATTCTTGTGTCAGTTCATTACACAAAAATGTATTGAATTAATACAGTCCTGAGGTTGCCCTAGCAGCATTCTCCTTTTATAAGAGATTCATAGAATTGATACTTCTTAGAGAAGATAGGTCATATGTAATAGTATTTGACAATTATGAAAGTGATTTTTCAATGAAAGGACAGTACCTAAGTTTGAATCATAACAAACATGTGAATTCTACTATTGAACTTTACCATTTTTAGAGTTACTGATTGACTATTTTCTTCTTACATAAACTTTTCGCTAAATACAAATGAATTTCTTAGAGCATCTGCTTCTTAGAGATATTGGAAAAATTCCATTTGGAATCTGCCACTCATGGTCCTTATTTTAACGTTTGTGCATATGAGACTTTGTAAATCACAACAATTTCCAAATGGGTTTATGAACTTGAATTTTGCTGCCTTTCTTCAGAGTTAATTGAAGAGGGTAGTTAGCACTGATTCAGTAGTCGTGATGATAACTGAATCATTCTTGCCACTGATCTGAAAAGTGATTAAAACAAACAGTAGTAACCTTCAAAGTTAGTGATGTAGTATGTTCTTCTTTCATGATAACTCAGTGTTTTATTGGCCATTTCCATTGCTCAAAAGAGTGGTTTGTACGTTTGAAACCATGTTCTTATTGTCCTCTTTTAAACTGATCATTAACTGAGAAAAGAAAATATGTTCCTTCCTTTTTCTTCCCTAGAAATTTTACTTGTTAAATGTCTTTGCCAACAACCACAAAAATTTCTGCTTCCTAGCCTAATGCTTTAGACCACTTGTGTGTAAAAGATGGAAAGGGAAAATGAAAGGGTCTTAATGCAGCAGTGGATTCCCAGATGCACACTTTCTCCAGCAGGACTGAATGGACTCTCTTAGCAAAGAGTTTGGATAAGTGCTTCAAAATAAAGATATGTTTTTCTTCTCACTGTAGTACATAGAGTGCTTTCAGTCTATCTAGAGGTTTCTGAGTTTATTAAGAAAATGTTTCTCCTCATTTTACTGTGTAATTCACAAGCCAGTTGAGTGATGCCATGGAAAGCAAATAGTAAGTTATAAAAACATTAATATTAGTACTTCATGTTTCTCTGAACATCTCAGGAGAAACCTAAAAACTTCTATCAAGTTCTAGATAATGAGGAAACTGCCTTGGTTGCTTAAGGGAAAATAAAGCAAAAATTACACTGAAGTCCTGCTGAGAGAGAGGGAGAGAGAGAGAAAGAGATAGACCACTACAGAGAGCCATAGCTGATTCGTCTGCCTCTACAGGGTTAATAAAGGTGTTTGGGGAAGCAAGTAAAGTTTAGCTGACTTGGCTGTGCTTTGTTGTCTTTATATCAAGGTTTTATAAAATTTAATTCAATGGTTAAAAGTTAAAGGCACAGGAGAGAACTGTTAAGGAAAATCTTTCAACAGAAACAAAACTTATGAATATCATCACAATTCATCTAAGCTTTGTTTCCCTTATTTCTAACAATCATTTTAGCAACTATTTCAGAAGAGAAGACTCTAACTTTTATTCTAGTTAGAACCAGAAGGAACCAAATTATATTGCCCTTTGATCATCAAAGAGTTTTCAAATTTTTCTGTAGGACTTGATACTGCAGTCTAACTCCAGACAGTAAATGTGAAGACAAAAGCCAAAAGGAGATAATAAGGAAAACATACCATGTTCATGGATAGGCAGACTCAACATTGTGAAAATGACAATTCTGCCGAAACCAATTTGCAAATACAACCCAATCCCGATCCAAATACCAAAAACATTCTTCAAAGAGATGGAAAAACTAATCATTAACTTTATATGGAAAGGGAAGAAGCCC